ATACTCCCCCTCACATTTTTCTCGTGCCAAATCTGCAATAATTCGTTGAGCATTCTGCTTGTTTATTGTCAATTCAGGCCCATAAGAAAATACGATACAAAATCAAGTATAGCTATAGATTTTCTCTTCTGAGTACATAATGCGAACCGACTAAGTTTCTTAACGGCTACAATACACTGATGGTGATTGTCTGTTTCGCTCGCAGATACTACGAGACTGGATCAGTGCGACCTGGCGTGATAGGCGGCAGCAAGCCAAAAGTGGCGACACCAAAGGTTGTTGACTGCATCTCGGCGTACAAGCGAGACAACCCCACGATGTTCGCCTGGGAGATTCGCGATCGTCTGCTGGCCGACAGTGTGTGCGATAAAGAGGGCGTGCCGAGCGTTAGCTCGATCAACAGGTATACTTCTATTAGCGACAACTCCCCGATACTCCGACAGCATGTATAACCTTTTGTAGATAGTATATGTTATCGTCAGAGATCATAATAATTACAGGATAGATATTCGCAGAAATCCTGGAAAGGTCAGACATCTATTCAACTGCAATGACCTCTATGTGATTTAGATAACGTTCGGCGTCTTTTCGCTTTATTCGGTAGATTGTATATCTAGTTATTCATCGCTTCCTCCGTGTTTACCGCTTTACGGACATGAAGATAACTACCTTTGTTGGTAATTCTTGTTGTAAAAGTAGTTCTGACAATAGTGCACGGTGTCGTTGGACCCCACAATTACACGGTGCGGCGGAATGCGCCCGTATGCTCTGTTATTTGGGTGCAAATTGCTTTTTGGTGGTTTGAAGCGTTTTAGGACAGTCGCAAGTGAACAAGGAAAAGATGACAAGCGTTGTTGTCACCGCTGGGTGTAAAATATTTTCGCTGTTCCTGAATATATATATATATATATATATATATATATATGTGCTTTGGGTCACAACAAGAAGAAATACTACAGTAATATGATCCCTATATAAGAGCCAGCACAACTCAAGAGAAACATGGACATTTATCTATTTAGACCGATATAATATTAACAACACTGAGAACTAACTTGACACAGCATTCTTCTTAATGTTATCGATGATATAAGCATATCAGATAATGCGCGGAATTAAACCGGATTTAATCAGGTATGATCATGGAGTGTACATGAAATTCTTCCTCCGTATAGCATGATTGAAAATTAACATGGCTTGAAAATTGACAGATATATTTTTTTTTGTAAATATTCTAAGACTATTCTAATTTATTGTCTCTGCAGAATAGTAAGAAATCAAGCAGCATTGAAAGCAAAGCTCCAGGGTCACTCGCTGGAAGGGGATAGTAGCCCACACCGCGAGATCAATAGTCAAGTTGGTGGCAACGCTGCTGGACATCAACAGCAACAACAGCAGCAGCAACAGCAGCAGCAGCAACAGCAGCCAGCTCTCATTTCGCCTCTCGTCCAAAGACAAGAGATTGGAAATGCGACGACGGTGATAACTCTGGCACCGCCAGCGCATATGCAGCAGGTAAATTGATTAACCATTGATTCTTTCTTCCACGGGTTCTCTTCCAAAGTCACTAGCGCTATATAGCACCACCAGTAAAATGTACACGGCACAAGTAGAATAACATAACTGTTACATTAAAATAATATGTTATTCATTTGATTCCTTTATCCGCGGGTAATCCTCCAACGTCAATAGTACTATGTAGCATTACTAGTGAATTGTATACAGCACAACTAGAATAATGAAAATGTTATATTATAATAATATGTTATTCCTTAGGTTCAGCAGCAGCAGCAGCAGCAGCAGCAACAACAACAACAACAACATCATCACCAGCAGCAACAACAACAGCAACAACAGCAGCAGCAACAGCAGCAAGATAATCCTCCCCAGGTCAGCCGGACGTCCGCCGGGTCTTTCTCCGTCAACGGAATCCTGGGTCTGGCAGATACCCAGGCCTCTAGCAGTAAACTGAAGCGCAGTAGTGGAGGTAAGCAATGCGACTGCCTAGCACGCATACATACCTATGTCGGCGACACGTCCTGGCCAGCAAATCTGCGAAAGAATACCTACGACAAAATAGTCTTCAACCAGATTCGACACGATATCCCGCTTATCACTGGCGAAGCATTCCTAAACGTTGCACGATGAGGAAACAATGTACAATAAATAAATGTGTATCATGTGTAGAAATGCGTAATAATGTACACCCGCATAATAGTAGTACCGATGTTGTGATGATATACACTGACCTCATGATAATGAACTCTTTCCGCAGATTCGAGCGCCAGTGGGGACAGCAACAATAACGATTCCGGGGAGACGAAGCGCATCAAAACAGGTTACCAAACAATCAGCATAGCCGACTATCAGCAAGAAGGACATGCGGTGTCAGGACAGCAAGGCGAGACGGTAAACGTCATTCGTAACGCATTTATACACACACATACGCACGCACGCACGCACGCACACACGCACGACACAAAAAAAACACACACAGCACACACATGCACACACACATGCACATGCACACACAACACATCACACACACACACACACACACACACACACACACACACACGTGTCAATATCACAGTTTACATCATAACAATAACACATTCACATTCACAATTCACATAATCAGTCACAGTCACGATCGTAATAGACGAATTAAGACAGTTGCGCCGCGGCATATAAGGCGAGGTGGGGTTCATATGTGATGCACACCCGCGCCACCAACCTGTGAAGGCAACACACGCATCGTTTCGTTATGGACTGAAGTCGCATAGGTTTACAAAACTATGTACCAATTATGTATTAAGCATCCTATTGACACAACACAAAGTGTCTTTCGGTGTAATACTATAGAAGTATGAAATCGTCGATTTTTTTTACAGCTATGGTTTACTGCCAGTGGTGAACTGCTAAAGAAAGCAACCGGAGAAATAGTGCAACCGCCTCCAGGAGGTATGTATATACACTACTATTTGGTAGCAGTAAGTTGATATATGTCATGTATAAATTCGATGATCCCATCAGAGTGCCTAAAAACGTAGATACTATAAATTTCGCTTACTAAAAAAGATAGCTGTGATGAACATCGATTGTGAGTCAGTTTGACATCGTTAACTATCTGCACTTGCAGCGATGTTCAACATGCAAGGCCTCTCGTATACGACAGATGGCGCAAGCGTCGCTACCACCGGCGCAGCAGAAACCAAGAATATCATCTACATCAATCCAATCACGGCAACGAGTAGGACGTCTCAGCAGCCGACCATCACCTACTCGCTGCCCAGCATCGGTACGCTGCAGATAGTCAGAGAGATAATAAGATAACCAAAAGCAATAACCCGAGCAAATATAGATACATTAGATACATTACATAACATTACACTACATTACAAAGATTAGCCTATTAGTATTAGTAAAAAAAGTACAAGTAAAAGTAAAAAAAATACAAAGATTAAAAGTATTAGATACATTACATTACAAATAGATTAGATATACATCTACATTAGATACAAATAGATACCCCGCGCAAACTAGCTATCACAGCTGAAGGTTGAACCTATGCCATATTCCCGCGAGTGTTTATTATATAAGCCATATAAGTGAATGTGTGTATTCATGCATTTAGCACGATAATTAGGTTAATAAATGTTGACGGATTAGCAGAAGATGCGCCTTCGTTGTACCCCACGCTCGGGCGATAAATCACACATGGCAATGCCAATATGAATGCGGTCGGAAGGACATTCGTCGCAGTCGTGTGCAAGCTTTACGTGAGGTAGATCACTCTTGGCACTGCCCTGATTGTTCCGTGCGTGTATATCTAACATGGCGTCGTTGTTTCTAAGGCACCGTTGCTAACGGATCGGGCATGGGACCAGTAACCATCGTTACGCTACCTGCCGGCAGCAGTAAATTGGCCCCAAACACGGGAAGCATCTTGGACGCTGCGGTGCAGATGGCACAGATTGAAGGTCAGTTGCGTTTGTTGCGCACATAGGTTAATATGATATATACATATGAATATAATCAAGAGCTAAGAATACTGTATATATGTATAATATACTGTATTATTAGCTCTTGATATAATAACTAAGACAACTAGTAAGGCTCATACAATGTTCAAAAGGAAATGTAGTGTGGTAAAATTGTTCCGTTTTATTACTACATAACTACCCAGACTATGCGTGACCACATCACCAAGATGAATGGCTCTAATAACGTAAGCGATGAGTGCTCTTAGATTGCACGAACTGGAATTGCATAGTAAATAAATTAAAATACAACCAAAATTATAATCATCAAAAAATAACAAAATAACTAAAATAATAAGTGAACATAAGAGGAGAAAGTGGAAACGAATCCACCTAAAGTAGCGAGGAAAGACACAGACTGTACCGCCACGTCAAATCCATAACCACGGTTCTTGCAGACGAAGGTTCGGCCGGTGACAACGACAGCGCCATCAATGGCAGCAACAGCAGCAACGCTGACGACGACACCACCAACGTCAAGACCGAAGTGGAGGCGACGGAAACGCCCGACAATCTCACAGTCTTGCAGCCGTTACAGTCCGTGGCGCTGGGTGGTCTTCCAGCCTATGGACAGTACCCAGGTGAGAGACTCCATCACTGCTTACACGCCCGCGCGCACGCACGCACGCACGCACGCACGCACGCACGCACGCACGCACGCACGCACGCACGCACGCACGCTCGTACACACGCACGCACGCAGCAGCGTCAGCAGAAAATAGCACACAGTGAGCTGCGATTACATAATATATGCGTCAGGTGAAGGCGCTGCAGAAACCTGCAGTTTGCTTATAATGTGCTACGCTATAATTAATTAAAAAATGTATTCATTATAATATTGCTGAATAAATGCGTCAAACTAAGCGTTTTCCTCTCGTAGTAATTAAGTTACCAGCGGGCATTTTTTAACGAGTTTCTTGGTTTTCCCTCAAGCCGACTACGCCGGATATACTGGAGGCGCTGGCCCCGTGACTTACACACAATATTCCTCTGTGCCGTACACCGACTCCTGGCGATATAGCGGCACTGGTGGGGTTATCCGTAAGTAACAAGCACTAGTCATTTCAGTATGATTGTTTTTTTTTGAAACACAGACAGACAGACAAGACAGAACAGACACACACACACACACACACACAACACACACACACAACACACACACGCACACACCAACACACACACCACACAACACACCACACACACACACCACCACACAACACACAGCCCACACACACTCACACAGAACACACAACACACACACACCACACACACACACACACCGCACACACGGCCACACACACACACACACACACCGCGCGCGCAGACGCACGCGCACGCGCCAGCCACTCTCTCTCTCTCTCTCTCTTCTTTCTCTCTCTCTCCCTCTCTCTATACATATATATAGTAATTTGATTGAAAGGATTTGTAAGCACAAAATGGTATAGTAATTATTCATAATCGTCATAAAGTTTATAGGGTATGATTTAACTGAACTTTATGCCTGTTTGTTTAGAAACCTCATATACTACGCCCCCTGGTGCTGACGCCATTTCAGACGACTGCACAGCTGACTTCTACCACAACAACAACGACGAGCGACAGCTTCAGTCAGAAAGTGCTAATCGTCACGTGATTGCGAATGCAGAAGAGGACACCTAGACAATCTGTGAAATCACATGCTAATTAACAGATTCAGGTGTGGTCGACATTGCGAACGCATCACATGCGATTTGAAATTTTTGGAGAAGCTAGATTGCGCCAGGACGCAGGAGAAGGGGTACGCCCGCGATGACTGTATTGTTACACGTGACTCGGTGACGTGATCGACGTCATTGTGACATGCCCATCCACCTACAGCTCAATACCGAATATGCTCGCTATCCATAAGACGAATAGCAGAAGATGCACTAATACGTAATCGACTCGCTTCCATGAGATGTAATCACATCGCTGCGTAACGGCATTGACGCAAAGTAACATTTAAATCAATGCTAAGCAATTGTGCGCAAGCATATTTCGGACGATATATCAGCGCTTGATGCCTATAGGTCTAAGTAATAGCAATTATTTGTATTTTAATAAGAAATCAGGATATAATGTAATTAAGGATTAAACAATAACAGTTTTTATTCGTTTAGTAGATTATAGACGCCGATAAGTTCATGTAAAATATCACGGCGTTATGATAGTCATTTCATAGCTGTACATTGTAGATGGTATGGTAACAAGCATATCACAAAGAAACGCACCACCCTGGTCTTTAAAAAGTCCAGGTATAGTACCTGCAAAAATACTCATTATCCATCATTATTAATCATGATATTGATCCAGATGTTTATATTTTACTTTACGCTAATTTCTATAACTCTCGATGTGTACTTGTGATATACTTCTAAACACCAATAGTAGATGATAGAAGATGGTGCTAGTTTCTTCACGGTAGAAAGAAAACATTATCTAACTTTTGTCTGACGTTGAATACCCAGCTTTGTGATATTTTATCTGAACGGCTACGAAGAATTAGTGTCTTTAAAAGTACAGAATTCTTCAAAGGGACAACTCGCGGAATAGAAAGTAAAACATGTGAACATATTTTTGTTACATTCCTTTACTATGCTATTGTTATTATAACTACCTTGCCTGATGGAGATTGAAACAGAAATGATGCTACCAGAGTGTACTTTCTAAATAGTTTTTTTTAACCGTGAGTATGTCGTTAGTGCGTAAGCTCTAATGAGATTTATTCAGATTAGCTGTAAATAATTATTTCGTGCTAATATTTTTGTACAAACTTTTGTTGATGAAGACATGACAAGTACTTAATATTAATGGCACACAAATGTGACACGAAATTTAATCACCAGTTTCAAGGTGACAATGTTCTATACAAGCGTGTAATTTTAAGAACTGGAGTCGTAAGCGTATATACCTATTATAGAATATTTTTACTCAGCGCATATACTGCACATTGGCCCAAGGTTAAGCGTCAGCACTATATGATCTGTATATCGTTCATGTTATTTGGCACCAAACGTGATTTATTCCCTATATGCGTAGTCAATGATATGTCATATTTTAAATAATTACTGTGAGGTATGGTGTTCTATTTACACCCGAAGTAGTCTCGGTATTCAAGTTTAGCCATAGCAAGATTACAAATCTAAATACTAATATTTTTGTAATAGAAAAGCATATGAAGAACATGTACCGACGGTAAGGAATCGATCTGTTTGTCTTGTTAAGCAATTTCTGTATTGGTGCACGCATATTTTGTTTCTTGCTCTAAAAAAATAGTTCAATTCGCGATACATAGACTTTCCATTGACACATTTTTCTAAATTTAAACGCTACTATGTCGCCCACACAGGCGTTCTTGTACCAACTGAGGTCGGCTGTGGAAATCTTGTGCCACATATCCTGTGTATTAGATCATATGACTACAGATAACGTATCGATTGCACCCTCACGTAGCGTCTAGAAAGATGCAAACGCCAGGTTATGATTGATTTTTTTATATGAGTATGTGCACGGGATACATGTCAAATGGCATAGTTAGGACTGTGCCACGTAATTTGTAAAAATTAAGCTCTAAGATTACTTGTAATCTCGGAAATTCTTTGTTGGCGTATGGTTTACCTCGACAGCAGCTGTTTTGATGTGCGGAGCGAGCAAATACTGTGAGAATTGAGCAAGGCGTGACTCACACATATTGATACTGTTTGAAGCCGATTTTCATACAAAATTATTAACTCAAGTGTAACAGTTCAAACATCAAGTAAATCCGACGCCACGAGATCAACAATCCCAGACCCACGCATCATGTATCGTCTCCGATGAGTAATATACGTTTCTATATTGTTTATGCTTGACTCCGTCCTTGCGCCGTTCTAGAAAATGAAAGAAACGAGCCGCGTCCATTCGCGAAAAAAGTGATTTGTAACTATACGTACTGTGCTATATAAAATAACTAAAGCGACACGTAGACTTGAAAAGATTTCATGCAAACCCTCCAATCGTAAAACAATGACAAATCATGCGTCTCCTAACGATTTGTGCTTGGTGAATTAACATAAAAACACTCTGCTTTCATGTTAATCTTTGTCTGCACTCATATAGCACACTTCCAACAATTATCATCGTTGTAAATTCACTTGGATAAACTACATGTTTTATTGCTTTAATCAAAAGCAGCATCACATATAATTTTTGAGTGGTGTTATTTGTTTCTATAGTTTGATTAAAAGATTAAAAACCGCGAATTAACTGAAATGATTTGGTTGCCATAGCCTGAATGTTATCTCGTAAGCCTGACCTTGTAGTTCGCTGAGCCATTTTCTTTACTGTAAATTCTTCGGAATGTTTTTCAGACAGCGAAACACTCCTGTTAATGTGAACGTACTTTCTCGGTGTCTCTCTATAAAAAAAGATAGTCATTCAGCGTAACATGTGACAGAAGGTATTTTAGAACATGTATTCAATATTTTAGGAACATCAATCTACAAACGCATGGGAATATTCTTACCACGACTGGTTGGCGAACGACGGACTTAACGGACAGGATTGTACAAATGGACCGATGGGCTGACGATTTGTGATAGATGTAATGGATGTGTGGATAGATGATATACCGATGATGGTTGGAGCGTGAGCTTGATCAATTGATTGATTAATATGATCGATTGATTTTGATCGATTGATTGATTGATGGGATTGAATGGATGGATGGATAATGGATGGATGATAAAATAGCGAGAGAGATAGAGAGAGAGAGAGAGAGAGAGAGAGAGAGAGAGAGAAGAGAGAGAGAGAGAGAGAGAATGAGAGAGGAGAAGAAGACGAGTGATACATGGGCGAGTGAAAGAGATAAAAAGATAGGATAAACGAGATTCTTTGGTAGAATACGACACTTACAGTCACCTTGCTTGTGCATAAGAGGCATGAAAAGTAATTAAGCGACAGAAAGGTCAAAAATGACGACGAACGGATTATTACGGTGAATGCAGTGATTGTGTTTGAGTAGACGCGTACTTTCACAACTCGATAAGCACTTCTGCAATAATGTGTCGCGCTTACGGACGGACGGAAAGGCTCGGATTAGTCGTATCGTTCGTTGTCAGGAGTCTGGGATGCCGGTGACAGCTGACCTCTCCGTACTCCTGGATGACTCATGAGGATGTTTTCCATTTCGAAGGCTGAGCCTGCACACTACCGCGAACGCCAATATGAATGTAATCACTATACAGACAGCCGTGAAGACGCGTAATTGTTGTTATGAGAAATTCCGCAAGTATTAAAACCTCTGTTTAATGTGGACATGCGTTCCATTCATGAGTAAGATGTTTGTTTTCCTGAGACAAAACAGTTTGGCTTTGAGTATTATCGTTGCTGCAAGCCATCGCGATCGCTGATCTCGTTGTGTTTCAAAAAGTAGTATATATATGGGTATAAGCGAAGAGTCGTTGTTGTACTCTAATATTGGTATCAATGTGGCACTTCGTTGAACCTGAAGCACACGGTTCAGAAAGCTCAGCGTTTCCCTGCTCTCCATTCGTTTAACACCACGCTAATCCCAGTCTTCTCTCAGTTGGGAATGTATACCCTGAATCGTCGTATTTTGTCAGGTGCAATTCGATATATCCTTTAGTCTATCTATGTATATATAAAACCATCGTCATCGTACGTGCACGAGGTCTCGCCGTGTGCAGCCAACCGTCGCTGTCAATGGCGCGTGCCGTCCGCCTCAGGGTTGTTGAATGTACGCCGCGGCAAGTAATTTATATGGATTACGGACGGCACTATCTCTGCCGCACACCAGGGGGCAGACACTCCTAGTGATTGGCGTCCACTCACGCTACGCAGATGCCATCAAAAATTATACTACATAAATTATATTTCACAGTTGTAGATGTGTGATTTGGAGTTTGTAGTATTGTGGTACATTCCTACTTATTACCGGATTATGTGTACGTTCTATTTTGGTTGTAGCCGAAGCGCTATAAATATTAATTGTTTTGAGTGCGACATCTCTATGTGTAATCCTTACCAGTTAGAACGGATTATGCTCGCCAATAAATCGCGCTAACAGCACAAAAACAAATATGAATATACCCTTGATCGTGTGTTGCTAGAGGTTTTTCCAAGAAGCACATCCCTCTCGTGTTGCTATCCTGATTCTTTTCCGGGGACCGCCTATATGATCCGACTTTCGATCATCCGAATGCTCTCTTAAATAGTTAGTTAGATAATTGTTATATTAGTTTATCTCGGGGCTTCAAACGCATCAGGTTACACGCACTCAGGAGAGCAGTCCTTATCGGTGAACGGTAATGTAATTATATAAAGTAAAAAGTCAAAGACTTGTCAACATCTGATTGAATTAGAGAACAAAGTATACCACGTTTAATTGACTAGGAATTTTCAATTATGCCTCTTATCTCGCGAAGCTATTTATGTCCTAAGTCTAATAATAATAAGTCTTACTACTCATTAAGCTGATCAGGTGTGGATGGCGTAATTCTAGCTTCTCTGATAAGCTGCATGGGCTGCCAGCTGCTCCAACCCGTGTCACAGCGTTGTAAATGTTGGGCACTCGTAACCTGCTTAGACCAGACTGACGATCAAGTGGAGAGATGACAGAAAGGTATAGGTTGACGCTATAAGTTAATAAAATCATGGCGCGTCAGTTGAACTGAACTTGCCTTTAAGAATTATGATACCAAATATAAGGAATACTATTTAATTTGAGTTATAACGAACGGTAAAGCTTCATGATTCCGTGAATTTGACAATGAAGAGTAAAACCGAGAACTCTAACATAATTAGGCAGCATACTAATGAGATACTTAACTTTCTAATTGTTGTATATAGCAATCACAAACTTAATATCCTTGTATTTGTTTATTGCTGCACTGTTAGCCAGGATTACTGAGATTAGGCAGGGACAAGGTTTGCTGCCCCTTGGCTAAACTGTGTAATGTTATATGACGGCCGGCTCTTGTAAGTCTGGAGGAGTTGCCCACCAGAACTAACGTCTTCCAGTTGTCTCATGTTTAAGCATAGAACGAGTATCCATATATAAGAGCTTGTAGTTTAAACCCAGTATTTATCATGTTTGCTTGTGCAAGATGGCTATAGTAGTGCTGGCTATATACATACGCATTTAAATTTGTTGATGATCGATAAATTTACCAAGTTAAAGTTCTTACTAGCAATTGCAATATCTTCTAAATTTCGAGTTGAAATAAGTTAATAATGTCGAAGTTTAAATTTTATTATGGCGTTACTGCTGTCTGTCCATGCATAATCTTAACTAATGCAACGATATTGCACCCATCAGTGACCCGTCCCCTTAAAATGTGTGACGTGGTAATGCTTAATACGGCTAGGTAGGAGTAGCAGAGATTAGCCAGCGAGGTGTTTGTGATACACAAGGTAATGCCCTTTGGCGGGCCAGTTGTTCGCTGGAATATAGGCACGAACGGCTAGGTGCACCGGATTCAGCACGGTTTGTTTTAGGAAATGGCGTCGCCAACATGTCTTCCAGCAGATCGTTAAACGGTATACACTCTTTGTCTACTAATCTGCCAAATGAAATCCGTGGCCTGAAATAAGCAATAAGTAAAAAACTGCGATAAATAAGGGATCGAAAGGTGTTTTTTTGGGGGGGGGGGTAGCAACAGATTTCTCAATAGTGTATGCTGTTTTATGACTGTAAAGTTTCTAGTTTGAAGTGCTATCTCAACTGAGAGACTTTTGCTACGTAGTAAAGAAATCAGGCCAGCATTCACAAAAGTGAACGTGGTCCTAGTCCACGATATATATATGTATATATATATTATCTTAGTCACGTACCACGTTTACTCCACAACGCTCCACCAATTTCCTCGCAGTTGTGAGCTCGTCACTAGATACGACGAAAAACTTTAAAGTGCCACAGAACTTCGCAATTTCCAGCTTGTAAAGTATCTCGTCTGAAAGCATGCACGTACGTCTATGCGGTAGGACCGATATTGTCCAGGTGGTTTCATCACTTAATCACAATCTATCTACTAATTAGTTGTTTGATTATGAAGGTGCTATCTCATTTTAATTAACAAAATATCTGCAATATATTGCATTTTAATAACAAATTTTTGGGCGGCATTTCTCAAATTATCTGTTGCTGACCTATAGGAATCCTTAGCTTGGCATGGCCGCGAAAATGATTTATCAATGTAGTGTAAAGACAATAACCCACCTACAGAGGATCCAGGAATCGCAGACGTCAGGACGGCCCCTAGCGAGTAAACTGCCAACATCGTGATCACGTACTCTGGGCAGTTAGAACTGCACACAAACACGACGTCACCTTTCCTGAGGCCGCGCCGGGCCAGACCGCTAGCTACTCTCCTTGCAGACTCCCGCAGCTCTCTGTACGACAACCTCCACTCCTTGCTAGCATCAGGTGGTCCAACACTGCGCCCGATCTAGCAATGTCACGATATAGCGAATATAACAGTGAAACACCGGCCACAGGATTGTAGCGTTCGACATTTTTACGTTTTGACTTTCTGGGGTTTGCTTGGATTGCTGGACAGCGTATTTGCAAGATGGATATAAAAAGGATAAAACAAAAAGTACCTGTATGTAATTAACAAAAAAATGAAAAAAGGAAAACATGAATGAAAGGCAGATGTAGAATGTAGGCTGTGATAGCTCAGAGTTTGGAAAATTTAAGGAGAGTACCGATAGACGCACTTGGAGAACAGCACACAGCGACTTGTAACATAATAGTAAAAATAACAATTAACGACTGTATTTAGAAATTAATTAGAGAAATTCTTGCCAATTCTCCTCTTATACGCCATTCGGTTACCCATTATTCCATATTCTACCATGCACGCGTATACCTGACTTACGCGTTGACACTCGCCCACGACTAATGTAAAAACGTAATTGTAAGACCTACCACAGCTATGGAGTCCTGTGGCTTGTTCAACCAGGAATGTTGCTCAAGGAAATCATTCACCGACATTTCTGGCACATCGACATCTGGGAACTGGCTCTTTAGTATACGTCCTTCTTGTCTGTCCATCACTATAGCTGTTTTATGTGCTGTATAATTACCCTTAAATATAAGAGATTTGCACACTCTAAGTCTCGTATTCCGTATGAGATCTAACTGCTACTCTTTCTACGTCCTACTCGCTCACTTCCCCGCTGTCTCTCTATCTATATATTTATAGCTAGCTATCTATTTAGCTATTTATCTTGCGCTCTATCGCGCATATGGTGCACGGTTTGGTCAATTTAGTCCAACCATATGTCGGTTTAAAAACACACACTATATTTGCGCCAACCATACACATTGTAACGCCACCAACATGTTATTGATAAAAACCTTATCTTCTTTTACAGAAACACATGTACATATTTCCTACCAACAGGTGCGTGTGTACCAGACTTATAGTCACAACAGCTGCCCCACCGGCGCTACGACTTTGTCGGAAGTCGCGCAAATGCGCTGTGGGAGTTCTGTGTCGGCATTCTGACTCTATAGAGGCGGTGTGTAAGCGCCACGACTCCAATTGGGAGTCGTGCGAGATGGCGTCGGAATGTGGTTGTTCGGCACTCTAACCTGGGCAGATGCACAGGGAAACCCAGATGAGAGACCGGATACCAGAGAAGTGTCGCCTGAGAGGTGTTGATCCTGCCCGCTAAGCGCGGATCTTGCGCGCAGTTCCACGGCAAGGTGCACGCGACCGCGGGAAAGTCCTACGAAAGTATCACGCGCTGGCAGCTATTGATCCGTGCGCCAAATTGAAAGGCTGGCGCACGGATCAATTGCTGCCAGCGAACAGTCTCGAATTTTAGCGGGTCTAATTGACTAGCAAACATATGCACACGCCATCGCGCAAGTCTAATAGCGATGTTTCACGTGATGACATAGATCAGGTCACGTGTATTTGTTATGTGAACACACACACACACACACACAGACACACAGACACACACACGCGCACAGACACACGCGCAGACGCACGCGCACGCGCACGCGCACGCGCACTCTCTCTCTCTCTCTTTCTCTCTTTCTCTCTTTCTCTCTCTTTCTCTCTTTCTCTCTTTCTCTCTCTTTCTCTCTTTCTCTCTTTCTCTCGCGCTCTCTCTCTCTTTCTCTCTTTCTCTCTTTCTCTCTCTTTCTCTCTTTCTCTCTTTCTCTCTCTCTCCCTCTCTCTATACATATATAGTTAATTTGATTGAAAGGATTGTAAGCACATAATGGTATATAATTATTCATAATCGTCATAATAGTTATAGGGTATGATTTACTGAACTTTATGCTGTTTGTTTAGAAACCTCGTATTACTACGCCCCTGGTGCTGACGCCATTCAGACGACTGCACAGCTGACTTCTACCACAACAACAACGACGAGCGACAGCTTCAAGTCAGAACAGTGCTGATCGTCACGTGATTGCGAATCACGAAGAGGACACCTAGCAATCGTGTGAATCGACATGCTAATTAACAGTTCAGGTGTGGTCGGACATTGCGAACGCATCACATTGCGATTTGAAATTTTTGGAGAAGCTAGATTGCGCCAGGACGCAGGAGAAGGGGTACGCCGCGATGACGTATTGTGACACGTGACTCGGTGACGTGATCGGACGTCATGTGACATGCCCATCCACCTACAGCTCAATACAGCATATGCTCGCTATCCATAAGACGATAGCAGAAGATGCACTAATACGTAATCGACTCGCTTCAATGAGATGTAATCACATCGTGCGTAACGGCATTGACGCAAAGTAACATTTAAATCAATGCTAAGCAATTGTGCGCAAGCAATTCGGACGGATTATATCACGCTTGTATGCCTATAGGTCTAAGTAATAGCAATTAATTTGTATTTTAATAGAAATCAGGTATAATGTAATTAAGGATTAAACAATAACAGTTTATTCGTTTAGTAGATTATAGACGCCGATAAGGTTCATGTAAAATTATCACGGCGTTATGATAGTTCATTTCATAGCTGTACATTGTAGATGGTATGGTACAAGACATATCACCAAAGAAACGCACCACCCTGGTCTTTAAAGTCCAGGTATGTACCTGCAAAATACTCATTATCCATCATTATTAATCATGATATTATCCAGATGTTTATATTTTACTTTACGCTAATTTCTATAACTCTCGATGTGTACTTGTGATATAACTTTCTAAACACCAATAGTAGATGATAGAAGATGGTGGCTAGTTTCTGCACGTGTAGAAAGGAAAACATTATTCGAACTTTTGTCTGACGTTGAATACCCAGCTTTGTGATATTTTATACTGAACGGCTACGGAAGAATTAGTGTCTTTAAAAGTACAGAATTCTTCAAAGGTGACAACTCGCGGAATAGAAAGTAAAACATGTGAAATATTTTTGTTACATTCCTTACTATGCTATTGTTATTATAACTACCTTGCTGATGGAGATTGGAAACAGAAATGATGTACCAGAGTGTACTTTCTAAATAGTTTTTTTAACGTGAGTAATTCGTTAGAGCGTAAGCTCTAATGAGATTTATTCAGATTGGCTGTAAATAATTATTTCGTGCTAATATTTTTGTACAAAGTTTTGTTGATGAAGACATGACAAGTTATTTTATATTATGGGCACACAAATGTGACACGAAATTTAATCACCAGTTTCAAGGTGACAATGTTCTATACAAGCGTGTAATTTTAAGAACTGGAGGTCGAAGGTATATACCATTATAGAATATTTTTACTACGCATTACTCACATTGGGCCAAGGTTTAAGGGTCAGCACTATATGAATCTGTATATCGTATATGTTATTGCACCAAACGTGATTATTCCTATATGCGTGTCATGATATGTCATATTTTAAATATTAGCTGTGAGTATGTGCTTTTATTTAACCGAAGTAGTCGCGGTATTCAATTAGCCATAGCAAGATTCAAATCTAAAACTAATAATTTTGTATAGAAAAGCAATATGAAGAACATGTACGACGTAGAGGAATCGATCTGTTGTCTTGTAAGGGCAATTTCTGTAGTTGGTGCAATATTTTGTTTCTGGCTCTAGAAAAATAGTCAATTCGCGAACATAGACTTTCAATTGACACATTTTCTAAATTTAACGCTATATGTCGCCACACAGGCGTTCTTCCAAATTGAGGTCGCTGTGGAAATCTTGTGCACATATCCTGTGTATTGACAATGACTACAGATAACGTATCGATTGCACACTAACGTCAGAAAGATGCTAACAGCCAGGTTATGATTGATTTTTTTTATTGTAGTATGTGCACGGGATACATGCAATGGCATAGTTAGGACTGTGCCACGTATTTGGTAAAAATAAGCTCTAAGATTACTTGTATCTCGGGAAATTCTTTGTTGCGTAGGGTTGACCTCGACAGCAGCTGTTTGATGTGCGAGCAGCAAAACTGTGAGAATTGAGCAGGCGTGATCACACTTATTTTACGTTTTGAGTCCGATTTTCATACAAAATTATTACCAGTGTAACAGTCAAAACATCAAGTAAATCCGACGACGAGACCAACAATCCCAGACCACGCATCTTGTATCGTCTCGGATGAGTTAATTACGTTTCTATTATTGTTTTGCTTGACCCGTCCTTGCGCGTCTAGAAATGAAAACGAGGCCGCCAATTTTCGGCGAAAAAGTTGATTTGTAATATCGTATGTGGCTATATAAAATAACGTAACACACGGTAGCTTGAAAGATTTCATGCAAATCCAATCTGTATAAAAGATCGACAAATCAATGCGTCTCCTAACGATGTTGTTGGTTTGGAATTAACATAAAACACTGCTTCATGGTAACTTTGTCTGCACTCATATAGCACACTTCCACACTATCATCTTGTAAATTCACTTGATAAACTACATTGTTTTATATGCTTTTAATAAAAGCACATCACATATAATTTTTGAGTGGTGTTATTTGTTTCTAGTAGTTTAGTTTAAAAGATAAAAACCGCGAATTAATGAAGTTGATTTGGTTGCATACCTGAATGGTTATTCGTAAGCCTGAGCTTGTAGTTCGCTGCGCATGTTTTTACCGGTTAAATTCTTCGGAATGTTTTTCAGGAAGCGAACACCTCCTGTTAATGTGACGTACTTTCTCGGTGTCTTCTCTATAAAAAAAGATAGTCAATCGCGTAACATGTGTAAGAAGGTATTTTAGAACATGTATTCAATATTTTAGGAATCATACAAACGCATGGGAATATCTTTACCACGACTGTGTTGCGAAAGACGGATTAACGGACGGATGTACGAATGGACCGAGGGTCGGACAGATTTGTGAATAGATGTATGGATGTGTGGATAGATGGATAGACCGATGGATGGTTGGATGGATGGATCAATTGATTGATTGATTGATCGATTGATTGATTGATCGATTGATTGATTGATGGATGAATGGATGGATGGATAGATGGATGGATGGATAAATAGCGAGAGAGAGAGAGAGAGAGAGAGAGAGAGAGAGAGAGAGAGAGAGAGAGAGGGAGACATGGGGAGTGAAAGAGATAAAAAGATAGGAGAAACGAGATCTTTGGGTAGAATACGAACTACAGTCACCTGTTGCATAAGAGCATGAAAGTAATTAAGCGACAGAAAGGTACAAAAATGACGACGAACGATATTACGGTGAATGCAGGTGATTGTTTGAGTAGACCAGTACCTTTCACAAACTCGATAAGATCTTCTGCAGATAATGTGTCCGCTTTACGGACGACGAAAGCTCGGATTAGTTCGTATCCTTCGTTGTCAGGATCTGGGATGCCGGTGACAGCGACGTCTCCTACTCCTGGATGACTCATGAGGATGTTTTCCATTTCTGAAGGCGAGACCTGCACACATACCGCGACGCCAAATATGAATGTAATCACTATACAGACAGCGTGAAGACGCGTAATTGTTTGTTATGAGAATATTCGCGTATTTAAACCTCTGTTTAATCTGAGACGTGCGTGTCATTCATGAGAAGATGTTTGTTTCCTGAACAAAACAGTTTGGCTTTGTATTATCGTTGCTGCAAGCCATCGCGATCGCTGGTTCGTTGTGTTCAAAAGTAGTATATATGGTGTATAAGCGGTAAAGTCGGTTGTTGTATCTATTATGGGTATCAAGTGTGGCACTTCGGTTTGAACCTTGAACACTCGGTTCAGAAAGCCTCAGCGTTCCTGCTTCCATCGTTACCACCACTGCTAATCCGCTTCTCAGGTTGGGAATTATACCTGAATCGTCGTAGTTTTGTCAGGTGCAATTCGGATGATATCCTTTAGTCTATCTATGTAGTATATGAAGCCATCGTCATCGTACTGCACGAGGTCTCCCGTGTGCAGCCAACCGTCGCTGTCAATGGCGCGTGCCGTCGCCTCAGGGTTGTTGATGTAGCCGCGCAGTAATTTATATGGATTACGGACGCACATCTCTCCCGCTACACCAGGGGGCAGCAGCTTCCTAGTGATTGCGTCCACCACCTACGCAGATGCCATCATAATTATACTTACATAAATATATTTCCAGTTGGTATGTGTGATGTGAGTTGTAGTATGTGGTACAATTCTACTTATTACCGGATTTAGTTGTACGTGCTATTTGGTTGTACCGAACGCTATAATATTATTGGTTTGAGGCGACATCTCTATGGTATCCTTACCAAGTAGAACGGATTATGGGTCGCCAATAAATCGCAACAGCCAAAAACAAATATGATATATACCTTGATCTGTGTGTTTGCTAGAGGTTTTCCAAGAAGACATCCTCTCGTGTTGCTATCCTGATTCTTTTCCGGCGGAGCGCCTATGACTGATCCGACTTCAGTCATTCCGAAAAGCTCTAAATAGTTAGTTAGATAATTAGTTATATACGTTTATCTCGGGGGCTTCAGCATCAGGTTACACGGCACTCAGGGAAGCAGTCCTTCGGTGAACGGTAATGTAATTATATAAATAAAAAGCAAACTTGTCAACATCTGATGATTAGAGAACAAAGTATACCACGTTTAATTGACGGAATTTTCAATATGCCCTCTTATCTCTGGAAGCTATTTATGTCTAAGTCTAATAATATAAGTCTTACTACTATTAATGATCAGGTGTGGATGCGTAATTCTAGCTTCTCTGATAACTGCAGGGCTGCAGCTACCCCCAGTCGTGTCACAGCGTTGTAATGTGGGCAGCTCGTAACCTTGCTTTACCAGACTGACGATCAGTGGAGAGATGCAGAAGGTATAGGTGACCTATAGAGTAATAAAATCATGGCGCGTCAGTTGAACTGAACTTGCCTTTTGGGAATATGATACAAATATTAAGGAATAATATTGAGTTTATAACGAAACGGTAGGCTCATGATTCTCGTGAATTTGACAAAGAAGATGAAAACGAGACTCTAACATAAATTAGCAGCATACTAATAGATACTAACTTTCTAATTGTTGTATATACAATCACAACTTTATATACCTTGTATTTGTTTATTGCTGCACTGTATAGCCCAGGATTACTGAGATTAGGCAGGGACAAGGTTGCTGCCCCTTGAGCTAAACTGTGTAATGTTATAGACGTGCCGGCTGCGTAAGCTTGAGGAGTTGCCACCAGAACTACGTCTTCTTGTCTCATGTTTAAGCTAGAACGAGTAGCCAATGATATAGAGCTTGTAGTTGAAACCAGATATTTATCATGTTTGCTTGTGCAAGATGGCTATAGTGCTGGCTATATACATACGCACTTTAATTTTGTTGAATTGATCGATAAATTTACCAGTTAAAGTTCTTACTCATGCATTCTTCTAAATTTCGAGTTGAATAGTTATAATTGTTCGAGTTTAAATTTATTTGCGTTACTGCTGTCTGTCATGCATAATCTTAACTAATGCACGATATTGCTACCCATCAGTGACCGTCCCTTATAATGTGTGACGTTGGGTAATGCTTAATACGGCAGGTAGGAGTACAGAGATTAGCCACGAGGTGTTTGTGAGTCCAAGGTATGCCCTTTGGCGGGCCAGTTGTTCCGCTGGAATATAGCACGACGGCTAGGTCACCGGATTCAGCACGGTTTGTTTTAGGAAATGCGTCGCCACTGTCTTCCAGCAGATCGTTAAACGGTATACACTCTTTGTCTACTAATGCTGCCAAATGAAATCCGTGCCTGAAATAAGCAATAGTAAAAAACTGCGAATAAATAAGGGACGAAAGGTTTTTTTGGGGGGGGGGTAACAACAGATTTCTTAATAGTGTATGCTGTTTATGACTGTAAAGTTTCTAGTTTGGAGTGCTATCTCAACGGCGAGAGACTTTTACTACGTATGTGAAAAAATCAGGCGCAGCTTTTTCAAAAGGGAACGTGGTCCTTGTGCACGATATATATATATATATATATATTATTACTTAGTCACGCTACCACGTTTACTCCAACAACGCTCACACAATTTCCTCGCAGTTGTTTAGCTCGTCACTAGATACGACGAAAAAACTTTAAAGTGCCACAGAACTTCGCAATTTCCAGCTTGTAAGTATCTCGTCTGAAAGCATGCACGTGCGCGTAGACGCGATATTGTCCAGGTGGTTTCATCACTTAATCACAATCTATCTACTAATTAGTTGTTTGATTATGAAGGTGCTATCTCATTTTAATTAACAAAATATCTGCAATATATTGCATTTTAATAACAAATTTTTGGGCGGCATTTCTCAAATTATCTGTTGCTGACCTATAGGAATCCTTAGCTTGGCATGGCCGCGAAAATGATTTTATCAATGTAGTGTAAGGACAATAACCCACCTACAGAGGATCCAGGAATCGCAGACGTCAGGACGGCCCCTAGCGAGTAACTGCCACAATCGTGATCACGTACTCTGGGCAGTTAGAACTGCACACAAACACGACGTCACCTTTCCTGAGGCCGCGCCGGGCCAGACCGCTAGCTACTCTCCTTGCAGACTCCCGCAGCTCTCTGTACGACAACCTCCACTCCTTGCTAGCATCAGGTGGTCCAACACTGCGCCCGATCTAGCAATGTCACGATATAGCGCGAATATAACAGTGAAACACCGGCCACAGGATTGTAGCGTTCGACGACATTTTTACGTTTTGACTTTCTGGGGTTTGCTTGGATTGCTGGACAGCGTATTTGCAAGATGGATATAAAAAGGATAAAACAAAAAGTACCTGTATGTAATTAACAAAAAATGAAAAAGGAAAACATGAATGAAAGGCAGATGTAGAATGTAGGCTGTGATAGCTCAGAGTTTTGGAAAATTTAAGGAGAGTACGATAGACGCACTTGGAGAACAGCACACAGCGACTTGTAACATAAAGTAAAAATAACAATTAACGACTGTATTTAGAAATTAATTAGAGAAATTCTTGCCATTCTCCTCTTATACGCCATTCGTTTACCCATTTTCCATATTCTACCATGCACGCGTATACCTGACTTACGCGTTGACACTCGCCCACCGACTAATGTAAAAACGTAATTGTAAGACCTACCACAGCTATGGAGTCCTGTGGTTGTTCAACCAGGAATGTTGCCTCAAGAAATCATTCACCGACATTCCTGGCACATCGACATCTGGGAACTGCGCTCTTATAGTATACGTCCTTCTTGTCTGTCCATCACTATAGCTGTTTTATGTGCTGTATAACTACCCTTAAATATAAAAGATTTGCACACTCTAAGTCTCGTATTCGCGTATGAGATCTAACTGCTACTCTTTCACGTCCTACTCGCTCACTTCCCGCTGTCTCTCTATCTATATATTTATAGCTAGCTATCTATTTAGCTATTTATCTTGCGCTTTATCGCGCATATGGTGCACGCGTTTGTCAATTTAGTCCAACCATATGTCGTTAAAAACACACAACCAATATTGCGCCAACCATACACATTGTAACGCCACCAACATGTTATTAATAAAAACCTTATCTTCCTTTACAGAAACACATGTACATATTTCCTACCAACAGGTGCGTGTGTACCAGACTTATAGTCACAATAGCCGCCCCCCCGGCGCTACGACTTTGTCGGAAGTCGCGCAAATGCGCTGTGGGAGTTCTGTGTCGGCATTCTGGACTCTATAGAGGCGGTGTGTAAGCAGGCCACGACTCCAATTGGGAGTCGTGCGAGATGGCGTCGGAATGTGGTTGTTCGGCACTCTAACCTGGCAGATGCACAGGGAAACCCAGATGAGAGACCGCGGTAGCCAGAGAGTGTCGCGCCTGAAGAGGTGTTGATCCTGCCCGCTAAGCGCGGATCTTGCGCGCAGATTCCACGGCAAGGTGCACGCGACCGGGGAAAGTCGCTACGAAAGTATCCAGCGCTGGCAGCTATTGATCCGTGCGCAAATTGAAGGCTGCGCGCACGGATCAATTGCTGCCCAGACGACAGTCTCGAATTTTAGCGGGTCTAATTGACTAGCAAACATATGCACAACGCCATCGCGCAAGTCTAATGCGATTTTCACGTGATGCAATAGATCAGGTCACGTGTATTTGTTATTGCTGTGGTCTGGGAGAAGCCGAAGCGTGCTGCTTGACATTTACAAGATAATGACTACATGTTCTGATAGAAAGCGCTGTTTATTAGTGCACGTACACGTGCGTGCATGCGTGCGTGTGTGCGTGCGTGCGTGTAAACTTACACGTGCGTGCGTGCGTGCGTGCGTGCCGCGCGTGCGTGCTGGGAACGTACACGTGCGTGCATGCGTACGTGCGTGTGCACGTACACGTGCTGCATG